ACACCGTTATCCTATACATATATATATATATAGAACTGTCAATAATATTCAGCATTAATGTTACACATTTATTCTTGCGAATTATTCCTTCGACAAGATGTTAATATAGCAAAACCGAATGTGAAGTATAAAACAGTGGCAAATAGTAAAATCGGAGGACAGAACGAGCTTCATATTTAATTTTTAAATATTCGTTCGACAACTTTACGAAACACTTGAATTAAGCGTGTCCAAGGCATAACCTTCTTAAATACTATTGTGTCAAATACAGTTATAATTTAGAATATTTTTCCCAATTAGATCATTTGTCATCAATAAAACCCGCAGTGACAAATAGTTCTTCTACAAACTTCCCAGATAGGACAGGAAACACAGACAGTCCGTTCTCAAATACCAGTTTAGGATATACAGTTCAACCAAATAACAACAGAACGGAAGTAATAATATCTTCTAAAGACGACATTGGTAAAAAGACAACAATACCAGTTGTAGATGGTAACAGAACCATAGAAGCAGAATCAACAACACATAGAAGTAAGTATGAGCGCTCAAAAATACATCCATTCAGAATAACTGTATTTTTTACAATAAATGACTAATGTTAACACAAGATCCAATTCCTCTTGATTTGTGTATTTTTAATGAAGAAAGGTGTTTTTTTTATACATTAAACGTATTCGTGAGTGCAGAAAAAAAGGAGAGTTTTTTGTGAAGTTTATAAGTTTGAAGATAGTAAAAGGGCTTTAATTATTTTCATTTTATCTTTTTAAGGTCTCAAAACAACAACAACTGAACCAGCCACCGTTTGTCCTCCCAAAAACGGGAAATTTCCAGTTTTTCTCCCTCATACAGAAAACTGCTCGCTGTACTATGTTTGTGACAATGGATTACCAAAGCTAATGCGTTGCCCAGCACCACTTCACTTCAACCGACAACTTAACGTATGTGACTATGAGTGGAGAGCTGGTTGTTTTACGAATGGTGAGTTTCAGGTCATCTTTTTCTTTTCTGTTCTTTTTCTTAAAAATTGTGGATTCTCAAACACCAACAGCTATGTTTCAAAATGTCATCTGTTCCATAGATCATAAAGGATCCTATAAGAACATCTTAGGTTTATTAAACTCAGAAAACGCGAAACACGTTGATTTCATCTAGTTTGTTTGAACCGTTTACACTAATTCTGTTCACATAGTTACATAATGGTATACAGTATAACTACACATTCACTAAAACAATATAGTGTTTTTTTTCTTCCAAGACATCTTCTACAAAAACGAAAGTTATTAAATCATTTGAGTTTTTGTTATTCGTTTATGAAACCATAATATCATATTCTTAACATAATCCTTTATCGAGAACTAATAAGTAAAATCTAATATTACTTTACATGATTTTCTACTATTGGATCAGAAAACAAAAAAATAATCAAATAATTCTTCTACAAAAATCTCTCACAGAATATATAAAAGAAAGGGCTAGATCTCAAAAATCAATTTATAATTAATAATT